ATGTAAATGGCATGCCTTCGCGTAGGCCGAGCATAGCTTATGAGTATATATAGATAATGAGGAAAAGATAAGAAATTGAAGAGATAATATCTCATTCTGCGCTCGAATTTTGAGATTTTCTCGATTTAAAATTGCAATTTTTTTGGAAATTTCTAAAAGATTTTTAAAGTGAAATTTTCCACTCGAGGTATTGATGCACATTCAGAATCACATAGGCTTGTTTCTGTTCTGGTTCTGTTTGTATTGTTCCCAGTTTTATGTGATGATTTGATGGAGCATAATACGCACAAATCACAGATATGTATTATTACTTTATATGCTCATATTGCTTCTCTTTTCAATAGTTCTTTACACCGTCACACAGTGCTCTTTTCACACAATCTCTCATTTCATTAATTTTTTTTTTTAAACTGTATGCATAAAAAATAACGATGCGCTTATCAGGTGCACCGTATTCCAAGCGTATTTTTTTTGGCGATAATTTGTTCATACCAAAAGGCATTCACATTGCCTCATAATTCACCAATCACTTAATACATTTTTTTTTTTTTGTAAGTAACGATCCTGGAATGGGATGAATGTTTACTTTGTTCAGTTAGTAATGAAACAGATGTATTCCTTCTTACCATTGATACAACTGGCAACTTTTCCATTCTCCATTTTGGCCTCCTCTCATCCACGTAATTCCTTATAGCCGTTCAAACGGATCCTTCCATTCGTGGAATAAAAGGTGGCGGTAACTGATGGGTTTAAATATCATGCCCTTATATAGTACAGAGTGGTTTCAGTTAAAATTTCCATGGAAGTATGCAGCTCGGAATACATGGGTCGACTGCTTTTTGTGATGCCTGCCTTCGCTCCATTAATGAAGCGGGTGTCCATCGAGAGTGGTTGCTGTGGTCAGTTCTAGTGTTGGCGTTTATTCCCCTCTATTCTTTGTTTTCCGAAGGGAGGGCTTGCTTTCTTGTAATTGTTTCTGGCCCCGTAGTAGCCTGCTAGCGGTCCGTTCTCTCGGTCAGAAGGATGTACTGGTAGTTCTGAGAGGTAGCGGACCGGGAGTTCTCGAGAGTAACCATGTAGCAGCTAACATGTATTCCACGATGTGAGGCTACTTTTCCCGTCCTTCCCTCCCTCAAAAGTAGTCTTTTTCAGATGTTGCTAACAGGGCTGTTAAGGTTTCCTTTTTTGAAAGCACCTGGAGTGCTGAAGTTTTCTACGCTGTTGACTCCAGGAACTTCTGGGCCATAGCGGTACTCAGTAAGGCTTGTTATAAATACAGGAAGTTTTGTGATGAATGATTTGTGTGAACTGCACGAAATTGTAGAATGCTTGGCTGGACTCGCATTATCGGACGGGCCACGAGCCATGCGACACGATTCTGTTCATCCTCATCGGCTGCATCAGCATTGCCTGAAGCACTCAAAGAACGGATCCAGAAACTGGTCAAAGCCGAACCGGTGGTTGTTTTTATGAAGGGAACACAACAGGAACCAATGTGCGGATTCAGCAAAAACGTAAAACTGGTAAGTAGTATTATCCACGTTTTCGCAGATGAAACACCGCCCGGGATATCAGAGTCGATGCCACAGGTTAGTGGTGTCTAGAGAGCTTCGGATCCCCAGAGCCTCGCCACGTTTTTTTTATTGTTCTCCTCTCTTATTTAAATTTAATTTCAATTTTTAGCTTCTTTTTCCTTCCTTTATTCATTCCTTGTTATAATTTTATATTTATTTTGCGTCACGATATATTGTTGCATAAATATATCTAGAAGGAAAACTTATAAAACTCAGCTCGGCTACGTAACATGTACTTGTATTTAGGCTCGGGTTCGAGTTACGAAAATCATGTTGTGTAGGTAAGATTCTAGGTGTTGCGTTCAAGATTGATAATTTCCCCCTGGCATCAAGTTCCGTCATGGTGCACATAAAAAAACCCATTTAGGCCCCTCCTCGCAAATATCACTTGCAGGAAGGCTAAATTTTTGCAAACGTACTTAGGATGAGGCAAAAGACTGTATTATTCCTGATTTGAAAAAAAATAATGTACCTCCAATCCCCCTTCAGAATCCCATTTCCCTCGTATTTCGAGGATCACAGCCGCAGGGAGGAACTCCTCTGGATCATAGTTTCTTTATATATGCTATGTGATAATTTCCCAAAGTTTATTATCTCTCTGAAAATCGATTGGATCCTTTCACCGCTTTTTTTTGAAGGTTCTGGATTTCCATGAAGTGAAATTCAAAGACTACAATGTACTGGAAGATAATGAAGTCAGGGAAGGCATCAAGAAATATAGCGACTGGCCTACAATACCTCAGGTAAATGCATAAATTGTATACATTCTTTTTCAGCACCATAACTGGACTTTGCAGCAACAGCATAACGACTGTGGTACTATTGTTGGAAGGAAAGGAGTGAAAAAAATAGTAAAAGAGTAGGGAGGAAAGAAATAATTTGTAATCTAAGAAGAAAGAAGTTATAAATTGTAAAATGCAATGAGCACAAGGCTGAAATTTCGCGAGTATGTGCCACGCCGCCATTGCGGTCCTGCCGTTTTAATACCATCACCTGCGTACTCCTGGATGTCGCGTACGGACTCATTGAAATAATATGCAAAGGTTTTTGGCGAGAAAGCGGTTTTGGGAGCCAGGAAGGGTAGAAAGCCTGTATTTGGTGTACTGTCGTTCCCCTCATACTGTATGGTACCGTACCGCTTTGCGTTTACAGTAACATGAGATGCTGGTACAAATAAGCATTTTATCTATGCGTATAAGATTGCACAAAAGGAATTACAGAGGTGGGGAGGGGAGGGCGGGGGGGAGGGGGAAGAGGAATGGGGAACAGGCTCGTGCACCATAGTGTGCCGTCACTTGAAGTGCATTTTTTTTGTCCCTTATGAAGACATATATTCCATGGATATGTTACAACAAAGACACC